TGGGGTGGGAGCTGAGGAGTGGAGGGGGTTAATAGCGGTGAAAAAGAGGGACATCTGTAATACTTTCAACATTAAATATTTTAAAAATAAAGAAACTTTCTCTGATGACCATTCTTGAACACTTGCAATGTGGCTAGTGCAAGTGGGTAAGTTAATTATTTTTATGTCTATTTAATTTTAATTAAAATAGCTACATGCAGTTATGGTATAACTGTTGTTCATCTAGAGCAGTGGCTCTCAACCTTCCTAATGCCGCGACCCTTTGATACAGTTCCTCATGTTGTGGTGACCCCCAATTTCATTGTTACAAATTGAACATAATTAAAGCATAGTGATTAATCACAAAAACAATATCTAATTATATATGTGTTTTCCGATGGTCTTAGGTGACCCCTGTGAAAGGGTCGTTCGACCCCCAAACGGGTCGCGACCCACAGGTTGAGAACCACTGATCTAGAGAGACTCTACAAAAGATAAATTAGCTGATGGTTCTTGTGGATGATTTTATGAGCCTGTCCATAAATGATACCCTGATGCAGGTAGCTTGGATCAGAAACTTTAAAATATGGTGAGAATCTTTTTCTATGGTCACAAGTAAAGTATAATATTAACCATTAAACTTTTCGCCCTTGTATAGCGGACAGGAACCCACTGGAATCCTTGTTGGGAACTGTGGAACACCAGTTTGGTGCTCAAGGGGTAAGTTGAAGCAACGAGCTCTCAGCGCAGTTTAAAGGAGATGACTTCCCTGTGGTTGGGTGGCATGTACTGAATCTGCAATAGGCCACTCCGTTTGAAAAGGCTATAGGGTGCTCCCAAGCTGGAATTTGAGACACTGTTGGGAGAGAATTAGATGAGCGAGTCTTTAAAAATAAAGATTTTAGGGGTGGGGTAGTGATTATAGAAATCAGGCGCTTTCTTTCTTATGTGTTATAAACTAAGATCTCTCTGTAAAAATGTAAATTAAAAAGGATTCAGGAATTTACATTTTAACAAAGCACCTTAACAATCATTTCCTCATCTGATCCTTACAATAACTATATGAAATTGCTACAGTGGATGTCACTGAGGGTCAGAAATATGAAACTACCTTTCCAGTATCACAAGCTAGAGAATGACAGAGCTGGAACTTAAACCCCAAGTCTTCCAGATCTCGTGCTTTCCTATATTTCTCTCTCTTGCTTTATAAATCAGGAGATAAAAATGCAAAGGAGAGTGGAGAAATACTTTGAAATGGAGAAATGCATTTGACTTGCCATGTAGCTTGGTAACACCTTTATAGATTTTCTTGTTCTGTGCAGTAACTTAATTTTTAAAAAGTTAATGACTAGAACTTCCTGATCTGTAGCTGATTAACATGTCCGACTCAGAGACTGAGTGCCATAGGCCTCCACTTGTGAGCATCACTTGGCATTTCTGATTCCCCTGAGTTCTGGCTCGGCAGGACCTCACCACAGAATGTGCCACTGCAAACAACCCTACAGCCATCACACCTGACGAGTACTTCAGTGAAGAGTTTGATCTGAGAGACAGGGACATCGGAAGGCCGAAAGAGATGACGATCAGAACACAAAAGTAAGAGAGATTTAATGGCCATTTTCTTTCTTTTTTAATTGATTTCAGAGAGGAATGGAGAGGGAGAGAAAGATAGAAACATCAATGATGAGAGACAATCATTGATTGGCTGCCTCCTGCAGGCGCCACACTGGGAATCCAGCCCACAACCTGGGCATGTGCCCTGACCAGGAATGGAACAGCGACTCCTGGTTCATAGGTCTCATAGGTCGATGCTCAACTACTGAGCCATGCTGGCCAGGCTCAATGGCCATTTTTCAACTTATGGATTATTTGTTTCAGAACTGTGCTGTTTTATGGTGTCATGTTCAGTCATTTCTCTGTCCCCTTCCTTTAAAAATAATTTTAAATTACTTTACAAAGGCCCATCTTTTATTTTATTTTTTAAATATATTTTTATTGATTTCAGAGAGGAAGGGAGAGGGAAAGAGAGAGATAGAAACATCAATGATGAGAGAATCATTGATCAGCTGCACGCCCCTCTACTGGGGATCAAGCTTGCAACCCAGGCATGTGCCCTTGGCTGGAATCGAACCCGGGACCCTTCAGTCCACAGGCCAACGCTCTATCCACTGAGCCAAACCGGCTAGGGCAAAAGCCCATCTTATTAGCCTTTCCCAAGTAGAGTATAGATTGGATATTTATTTTACTGCCAACAGCATCCATTGATTAAATGAAATGGTTTCCACCAGCTAGCAGTTTCTTAATGCTTGTTATCAGTTAAAGCTCTGACTGCCAGATTGGGAATAGTCCCGTCCTAGTTCAGAATTGAGCTGTAAGGTAACTGGGAAGACTGTAGGGTGAGGAAGCTGCTGTTGTCTAGCCTACTGCATAGAATTCCATTTCCCTGTCTGATGGTCATGTCCTCAGTCTTTTCTCCGTCAAACCCTGCAGGTTCAAAGCCACGCTGTGGATGTGTGAGGACTTTCCTCTCTCCCTTGTGGAGCAGGTCATTCCCATCATTGACCTCATGGCCAGAACGAGCGCTCATTTCGCAAGACTGCGAGATTTCATCAAATTGGAATTCCCACCTGGATTTCCTGTCAAAATAGGTACCCTAACTACTAAATGATGGTTATTATTATTCTCAGTAAAGTTATTTATAAAAGCTTTTATTTTGTTAGAAATTCCCTTGTTTCATGTATTAAATGCACGGATCACATTTGGAAATGTTAATGGCTGTAGCACTGCTGAAGAAACTCAAAATGTGGAAGGGACCCAAGCAGATTCAGGTAAAAGAAAATGGGGTTTTGTGATTTTTTAAAAAGAAAATTCATACATTTAGTCATTATACTAATTATTCTGTTTGGAGTATCTTATAAAGTAGTTCTCTGTACTGAATCAGGAAAATTTTGGATTTAGTTTAAATTCAGTGAAAAAAATTGAGAATGTGTATTAAAAACAGCATATTCTTTAAAAATGACTTTATTCAGGTGTAATGTAGATACAATAAAATGCTCTCATTTTTAGGTGTGATAGGTCAATGCATTTTGACAAATGTAACCACCTCCACAGTCATGAGAGAGCATTTCTATCATCCCCCCAAATTTCCTCGGCCTCCTTTGCCATCAAGTCAATTCATATTTTGGATGCTATTGTAAATGGATTTATTTTCTTAATTTTTATTTTCCAGTTACTCATTGCTAGTATATAGAAATATAACTGAATATTTTTCAGTTTTTAAAAATTATGTTAAAATAGTGTTCTGTGTCTTAGGCTAGTTGAAAGATACACAGGTGTTTGTTTTATATTATTTTTATTTTATGTTTACAAATATATATGTGTGTGTGTATATATAATTGTGTATGTTCACTGTACTTCATAATAAAAGAAAAAAGACATATTGCACATTGGTGTGACCGTGTGTATACACTCGCATTCCCCAAAGGACGCATGAGTAAAATACTGGTTACCTCTGGAATTTGGACATAGAAAGGGTACAGGGAGAGAGATCTTCACTTTTCATTTTATTGTCTTCCATATTTTTTATGACTATGCGTTAATTTTATTACTAAAAAGTAAATGGCCTGAGGACTGAAGGGTCCTGGGTTTGATTCTGGTCAGGGGCACATGCCTGGGCTGTGGACTTGATCCCCAGTAGGGGGTGTGCAAGAGGTAGCTGATCAATGATTCTCTCTCATCTAAAATAAAGCACCTGCTAAGCAGCCTCCACTGCCCACTAAGATACTTAAAAAGGCATAAAACATCGCACACACGTCAGCAGAAACGAGGACTGACAGTTGGCCTTTGCCAAGATTTCCCCAAACTACAAGGTTGATAGAGCTATATTGGAGAGGCAGTTGGAAGCCCTCCTCAGCAGTGCTGAGTCTTCCCTGAAGGTGGACAGCGAGGCCCTGCATCCTTTCTCTGTAGTCAGCTCTTGGTTCAGAAAAGCAAGGCTTATTTTGATCAGAAATTGAGCAGGTGCTGTTTGAGCCAGCATGTTGTTCCATCCTTTACTTTCCGATCACTATCTTTCATTTTCTATTTGGAAGCTGTAACTCCCAGAATATACTTGGATAGGGAATCGCAGTGTTTTCTGTGTATATATTTGTGTTTGAGGGTAGGGAGGAAGTAGTCACAGCATGTTGAGTCCTAGGAAATAGAGTCTCCAAAAATAAAGTTTATTGTTGGCATCGGCAGAGAAGGAAAAAGCACTCATAATAGAGCATTCTGGAAATTGTAGTGTTTTCTATGCCTTCATTTATTGCAGACTCCTAAAATGGGGTCAGAATCAGGCAGGGAGTGTTAGAAGATCCTGTCTCAGTCTAACATAGCTATCTGAGATAAAAGCCCACCAGTGACACTGGGAATTAGGCTAGGGCAGTGGTTCTCAACCTGTGGGTCGCGACCCCTTTGGTGGTCGAACGACCCTTTCACAGGGGTCGCCTAAGACCATCCTGCATATCAGATATTTACATTACGATTCATAACAGTAGCAACATTACAGTTATGAAGTAGCAACGAAAATAATTTTATGGTTGGGTCACAACATAAGGAACTGTATTTAAAGGGCCAGAAGGTTGAGAACCACTGCCCTAGATCCTAGCTGACTCCCAAACTCAACAAGTCCTGAGAAAAACAGCAGGTGCTCAGATTATCTGGGATCTCTTCAGGTGCACCCGATATACCAGCTGGAGTCCCAAAGCTCAGACTAGCGACAGTTGCAAATCCTACCCACCTGGTGAAGCCCTGTCCTTAGCCTTGGCAATGACCGCCCTCCGCAGTGACCCGTATCAGGACACCTGAGCCCAGGGCACTCCACAACACCAGGAAAAGCAGGACTAATATCAGATGAACCGGAAGTTTGAGGGGAATGTGAGCATCACCAAAGTCCTCAAAACCACGGGGATTCAAATATTCTCCGCTCTGTGGCCCCAGAGTGCCATGCTGCCCTGCACAGGTGCACCAGGAGCCGGGGGCCCCGGCTGGGAGGAGAAGCGCCTCCCTTCGCTGGACTCAGCTCACAGCTACTCTCCTCTTACCGACCCAAAGCACAGAGACTGCAGTTATCCCAGCCCCGATGGCAGTTCCTGGAAAAGGCACCCTCCTGAATAGACCGTGGTGGTGTGAGGGTAAACGCTAACTACTCGGGCAGAGGTCCTCCCCACCCTCACGATTAAGAAAGAACGCCAAGGGAAGCACTACAGTTAGACTAGGGCAGTGGTCGGCAAACTCATTAGTCAACAGAGCCAAATATCAACAGTACAACGATTGAAATTTCTTTTGAGAGCCAAATTTTTTAAACTTAAACTATATAGGTAGGTACATTGTTATTAACTTAATTAGGGTACTCCTAAGGCTTAGGAAGAGCCACACTCAAGGGGCCAAAGAGCCGCATGTGGCTCGCGAGCCGCAGTTTGCCGACCACTGGTATAGGCTACTACACTCCTAAGCTATATGGCATACCGCCATCATATACATGGTCCATTACTGACTAAAACCTTGTTATGTGGTGCATGACTATATTTATTGAATTATGTATTCTAACTTTGCTCTAAAAGAATTACCTGTTTTGTTCATTTGAACTTTGCCCAAGGTTAGCTGCTTTTTAATAGACTGATTTTTTTGTCAAGTATGAAAGGCTGTTAAGCAGGGTAGCGTACCATATACTACCTGGCACTTAGGTGTCATTTTAGAGATGACTTAAGTCCCTATTAGTTTTTCACACAGTACTCAATAATGGGCATGCAAATATTTTTAATTTTGTTCTTGCTGCTTTATTTCCTTATCAGTATGACACCTATTCCTTCTAAGAGATATTCATGTCATCATGTTTGTTTTTCCTAGGACCTTTCAGGACCAGCTTCGAATGGAGGGATCAGCCAGACACATGTCTACGATGTCCAGTATGAGAGGTAACTGACACAATTCCTGACGATTAAAGTTGGCACAAGCACTTTGTACACACAACACTGTGCCTGGTGGGAGAGACTTGATCAAGTGTTAATTCTCCTGTTGCTTAATGTGGCAGCTACTCATTAAAACAGCTCTAATCTCTTGGTGGCTGAGTTTCCAGGAATGGGTGAGAGCACTGCTGACTAGTTCACAGGCCAGTGCCATTGGCAGATAGGCCCCGAGGAAGTCTTTTCTGATTTGCCTGATCTGCCAAGGATGTGTGATCACACAGGGTCTGACTGCCCTCTGTGGGACCTTTATATAATTTTAAAGATGGCATTTTGGGGAAGAGCTACAGAGATTATTAGATTTTCTTCCTTTATTTTTAAATGGAGGAAACCAGAAAGATTGATTTTACAAAGCATTTCCCTAAACTTTGGGCATATGAAAACCTGTTGAAGAACTTGGGTCTTGCTTCAAATAGATCCAAGTTTAAGTCCTAGCCCCATCACTTAGTAGTTGGGTGATCTGAACCTCAAACTTCCCACCTGTATACAGTCTGTCCCCGAGTCACGGGGATCGAATGGCATTATGCACGCACACAGTGTGCACTTGGTAAGCAGTTAAGAATGTAGTTGCTACCATTGCCATGATGATGATAATAATCCCTGTTTCTTTTCCCCCCACTTTTTCCAACCCAGGGCCATCCAAGAGAGCCTCCTCACCAGCTCAGAAGGCCTATACTCTGGTGCCTCGAGTGAGACAAGCCATTTTGATAGTGATTTGCAGCTGGCCATGGAGCTCTCTGCCAAAGAGCTGGAGGAGCAGGAGCTCCGGCTGCGGGAGGAGGAGGCGGAGCTCCAGCAGGTCTTGCAGCTGTCTCTCACTGAGAAATAGACCTTTCTGCCCACAGCTGCACAAAGCAGAGCTCTGGGCTGCACGCGGGTGCTACGTTACCAGGGCCCTGGGGCTGAGGGACTGACTGCACCTCGCATGTGCACAGTGGACGGCAGCTGCCCCCTTCTTTACGCAGAGGTGCAGAACCAGGGACCCCCAGGTCCAGCCACAACACTCCCCGGTGAAGGGACTGGGGACCAGCAGGCCACATCTCCAGACTAAGGGGAGGGGAGCATCGTCACTTTCCATGAGCTGTGTTGGCTTGCAGGTCACATTTTTACTACCAGCTTTAGACAAAAACCCCCAATCCCCGCAGATCTGTAGGTTCGTTTTTACCAAGGAGTGATAACAAAACAAGTTATTGCAGAGTCAGGGTGCTTTTATATATGAGAGCAGCAGCCTTTGTAGAGTGTGGTTTATGAAAATTTATGATACTTTACAGTTCACCAAAGAAATGGATAATCTGTGCCGATCTACTCTTTTATTTTTACCTTTATACAGGGTTTCTAGGCCGCCATCACTGTTCCTCCTCCATCTCCACCTTCTTCCATTCTTTCCATCCCTAGCTAACGTTAAAGAGGAGATGTGTACAGGATCTATTTTAGATTAGGGTTAACTATTTGCATCAAATTAAGATATACTAATGACCATGGATGTTGCCTTAGCCTTAAAAATTACTAATAATTTCAAACCGCCTCACTTCATTCGTTGAGGGATCTGATCTGAACTTGTAAAGGCAGTTCCTTTGAGAGTAGGGTCCTCCAGGCTAAAACCAAGGCAGCTAACCCTGGCCCTGAAGAAACAGCTGGAACTGAGCTTTGTTCTTGCAGTGGGCAGGCCGGCCAAAGTACCAGACAGCATAGAACCAAACGACGCGTGTGTCCACACGTCCCTAGTGCAGGGCCAGGAAGACCCACCCACTGCACGTCCTCAGCTCGCTAGAGAAGGGGTGGGATTAGAAAGGGAGCTACAAGTGGAACTCAATGGCTCTATATTCAGAAGGGAAAGTGATGATTCCACATTGCTTTTTAGAGTTCAAATCATCTTTCTCGATAAATATATTTTTTAACAGAATCTTTTTATTATTTTTAAAAGATATAAAAACTATTCCCATCAGTAGCAATACAAGGTTATACATTTTAACCAGATTTCTCAGGCCTCTTTTGGATACCTTTAGTAGTTAGCTATTTTGTCTAACCCTTCTGTAAATAGCCATCACAGAACACACAGCTGAGGGTGCCCTCACTCTGGCCGGCTCTGTGTATTCATGCTCACAGGCTGCACTGAAATAACCTGGTAAATAATATCCTCCTGTTTTACATCAGTTTCCTGTGTGTTGGGCTTCTTTTGGGATGGGAAGAGAAACATGAATTACGTTCCAGTTAAAGTCTGTAATACAGTTAGCATTGCCAGTAAAATGTTCCTAGCCACAAAGAAATGTGCTTTTGATTCAATATAACCATCTGTCTTTCTTGTCATGGTCTGACCAAAATCCCTTCTCTGCACACCAGGCCAGTATATGCAGCATCACCTTTGTTTCAAATACATATCTTGGCATTTTGTTTACTGAATATTTACCTTGAGTGAGGACACGACTTGGGAATGGCTGCAGTTAGGCGACATTGTTTACTCACTAAGGTGAACCATAGGTAATCTCTTATGTTTGCATTCCATTGTTCTGCTTCCCCGTGTCTCTGACTTTCTCCCAGGAAGTCAATTAAAAAGGGACTGAGCTTTTTGTCAACCTGCCTGCAGTGTCTTTCATTTATGTGTTCACTCTCTTAAAATGCAAATAGACTGCTCCCTTAGAGCAGTGGTTCTCAACCTTCTGGCCCTTTAAATACAGTTCCTCATGTTGTGACCCAACCATAAAATTGTTCTCGTTGCTACTTCATAACTGTAATGTTGCTACTGTTATGAATCGTAATGTAAATATCTGATATGCAGGATGGTCTTAGGCAACCCCTGTGAAAGGGTCGTTTGACCACCAAAGGGGTCGCGACCCACTGGTTGAGAACCGCTGCCTTGGAGGGTGCTGCTACAGCATCCTAGACAGCCTTTGAGTCTTTCTCAGGTTGTTTTTCTAGTCACTGAATGAACCCACACTTCGTTTTGTGTGATATGGGAACATCAGAATGCCCTCCCAGTGCTCAGTTGTGTAGTATAAGGTGACATGCTCCTCCCCGCCTTCCTGACCAATCATAGTCCACACGCCCAATGCTCCCTGTCTCAAATGGAAACTAAAAGCAAGCCAGTGTCAGGGCTGCTCTGAGGCCTCTGCAGCTGGATTTCCATGTAGACCTCTAGCCTGGAGATGGACTGGCTCTTGTGGAGTAAGGAAAACCAAGCCAGCATCAACTCTCTAAGGTGACTGAAGATGCTCTCCTTTGAAGCTGAAGGTTTTTTTATTCTTTTTTTTTATCCTCACCCAAGGGTATGCTTTTCATTGCTTTAGAGAGGGAGCAAGAAACATCAACCGGCCACCTCCCATACACGCCCCAACTGGGGGGTCAACCTGAGACCTGGGTATCTGCCCTGACCCAGAATCAAACCCGCCACCTTTCGGTGTACGGTAGGACACTCCAACAGCCACACCTGCCTGGTTGAAGCGGAAGTGCTTTTTGAGGCTGTTCTTAGAAGTTCAGTTGATAATTAGGGCTTTAAGACTTACCCTACACCAAATATGTTGGTATTAAAACAAGGCAATAACTAGTAAAAAAAAAAAATGGTTTCAGAAATGAGGCCTTGGGAAAATGAAGGTGCTGCTTTGCTTTTGGGGGAAAGTAAATAGCCCGGTGGGGCACTATGAAGAAAACTGTTCTGGTGGGAATGCAATACCTATGGATTATTTAATTTAAAAACTAAGTTTCCTGCTGAACACAGATGACATCAAAGATAAGTTGAACTATGACAACTTCAAATGACAGTAAGTGATGGAGTTCAAAACCCAACTAGGCCCATGTGTGATTTAAAACAGATCCAGCTGGAAAAAGTCCTCCTAAGACTCCGGAGCCCCTAATCTCAAGCAACACTTGCAGACGTCTTCATCCCAACTTTAAAGGAAACTAGGATTCGTGTTTGCTAAAGTAACTCATTTTTATGATTGGTGTCAATTATGTGTGTTCATTTGGGCACTCGGTAGGCATTCTGAGTACAGTTCACTTTATGAGGTCTAGGTCTCCCGTGCTCCCTAAAATGGTCAGGAAAAGAATTCTACCTGAAGGTTCTAGCTGGTCAGTCTCTGCTCTAAAAAGCTTTTCAGTATAATTCTCTCTCTCCCAGAACTGAAGTTTTTATCCTTGTCTCTCTGTAATAAGCCTTTTGTCTACAAATAATGATTTTCTTACTTGAGCTTGAAGTCTCATCCTGAACAGATGGTAACATGGAATGAGGATGTAGGCTGGGTTTTGGATTTGTATGTGAACTACTGCAAAGTTTTTTCAGAAAATGAACATGGTCCTACTACCTGACTGGTGATTCCTGAACAAACAGCAGGCTGGCAAGTTCTTACTGTTTCCTTTTAAAATCTTAAAAGTGGCCCTGGCCAGTTTGGCTCAGTGGATAGAGTGTTGGCCTGTGGACCGAAGGGTCCCTGGTTTGATTCCAGGTCAAGGGCATGTACCTTGGTTGCAGGCTCCTCCTGGCCTGGGCCCTGGTCAGGGCTCGTGCAGGAGGCAACCAATTGATGAGTTTCTCTCACATCGATGTTTCTCTCTTTCCCTTTCTCTTCTACTCTCCCTAAAAATCAATGGAAAAATATTCTCGGGTGAAGATTAACAAAATAAAATAAAATCCTAAAAGTGGCAATGAATTTCTTGGCAGCATATCAAAATGTGTTCCAGATGAGGTGGGACTTAACCCTGTCAATGCCGGTCTCAGCATCCCACCCACACCTCCTTCCAGCCAGTAACACAGATTTCTATGGGACAGGCTAACTAGTAATCCCACCTTCATTTGAGTTAGTTTTCAAATCATTTAACCTTCACAATATTTAAGAAAAAGTGTGTATATCACCATTTCAGAGATGAGAAACGGAGGCTCTGAGGAAGTTAAGGCAGTTTGTGACTGGAGCTAGGACAAGAATCCAGGTCTCCAGACCCCTGGCCAGCCTGAGAGATTAATCCTGGCTCAGTTTTCAGAAATAATGCCTTGCCCTGAGGAAATAGTATTATTTCACATATGACTTTAAAATTCCACTTCACAGTGCTTCCTTAAGAGATCTGAGTCAAATACGCACCTGCATTTTAAAGGCTTGGAACATAATTAGGAGTAAAACAGGATGTAAGATTTAACTTTAATTTTAGTTGACATTTGCTGAAAAGCACAGAACAGTTAACATTTGAATGCCTCAATGTTAAGGTTACAAACAAAATCCTTAAGTCAAAGAGTTACAGGATCCCACATCAGTTATTTCACATTAAGTGCAGGTTTAAAAAAAAAATTCGTGCTGTGTTTGGAGCACAAGATACGCATTTCAATTTAACAACACAATTAAACTTAGCACCTTTAAAATAAAATAAATACTGATGACCACATTGTAAGTACAAAAGTATCATTTCAATAGGGGGAAGATCCAGTTCACCAACAGTGCAAACAAACAGCAGCGTTTCCAAAGCTGAAATTAAGTTTGTGTAAACACATACCACTCGCCACTCTGCCTGGTACAGTGAGTCCTTCCCACCCAGGGCCGAGAGAAAGAGTTTCTGCTAAGTTTCTTAGATTCCAAATCTGAAAAGCTGCCGCAAGTTTCAGGCCAAGGGCTGGAGATTTAAGTGCAGTACCAGGGAGATCCGCACGTTTGAGCAGCAAGCAGTTCTTTTTCAGATGGGTCAACTAGAAACATTTTCAGTCCAACCCCAGAGCCTTCCAGCCCAAGCATACACATGACCACTGGCCTACCTGCTGTGACCCTGACTTCAGTGGGGGCACCTGAGTGCAGAGCCGATGCTGGATGAGGGATGACGGCCCAAGCTCCCCACAGTGGACACTGCTTTGCAACCAGAGTGCTCTAGGCCAACTCAGTGCAATTACAAACGTTGTGATTCTTAACCTATTGTCACCAGTGCTGCTTAAGTACTGAATGTCTGTCTACATGTTAAGTCTTCTTCATCTTTTCAGACATTAATGACTAGTCCTTCCCAATGTGGTTTTATATCACTCACAAGGTTACTGTGTTTCCTTTCTCATGAGCACTCCATTTTTACACAGAACTTTACACTGAGCTTTAGGTCTTACTAACAAGCCACATACAAAAAAAAAATACTAGAAGCAGACTCAGTGGCCAATTATTTGCATTACAGTGTTACAAAAAAACTGCTAGATGTTTTTTCTAAATCAGCATTTACCAATTGTCCAGACCAAACGTCATTTCCAAGCATGAAAGTTCGGATTCCAACGTCTCCACTGACCCATGTGCAACACAACTTATTCTGTTCCCAAATACTCCTGGGAGCACTTGCTTGCTCGGCTGTCATCGACGCCGAATGGGTTTGTAGACACAAAATGCCATAAGGATCATGGTCACCAGCAGGATGCTGAAAATGGTTCCCATCAACACTGCAAAAGGAATACAGGTTACCTCCTAATGGCGGCTCAGGTTCTGTAAGTTGTCATTCATTGGCGATGAGGGACCCAATGCCACTCAGTACCAGGCACGGTGCCAGGTGTGGGGGAAACAGCCTTGAACTGCCCTCTCTCTGGGAGTCTCCATGTATTGAGGGGAGAGAATGTACACAAATAAGAGCATTTCACAGAGCCTGACGAGCTGCAGTGAAGGAAACCAATGTGACGGTGGGGGAGGAAGCATCTGAGGGGGACACATGAGCTGAGACTTTATGGGATGAAGGTGCTGGCCGTATGGTTTGCAGGGAGAGCACTGCAGGCCCCAAGATCAGCAAATGAGGGCCACTGAGGCCAGAGCAAGCCAAAGAGCAAATGAATGAATAGGAGGCAAGCATGGTAGGGGTGGGAGCAGTGAAGAGAGAAAGGCAGGAAATGAAGCTAGAGAGGAAGACTGCAGCCAGTCCATATAGGAGGAAACATGGATTTTATTCTCAGTTTAAAGAAAGGGTTGTAGGCAAAGAATAACGAACTGAATAAAAGCAGGGAACCCGCCCTAACCGGTTTGGCTCAGCGGATAGAGCCTCAGCCTGCGGACTCAAGGGTCCCAGGTTCGATTCTGGTCAAGGGCATGTACCTTGGTTTCGGGCACATCCCCAGTAGGGGGCGTGCAAGAGGCAGCTGATCGATGTTTCTCTTTCATCGATGTTTCTGACTCTCTATCCCTCTCCCCTCCTCTCTGTAAAAAATCAATAAAATATATTAAAAAAAAAAAAAAAAAAGCAGGGAACCCAACTATGGTTTTAAAGCCATTTATAAAAACTAGAAATTCAATAAAGAATGAAGTATTTCAGTCTCTATGTGAGTTTTGAGAAGGGCCTTCTGATCAAAGAAGCAATTTACTAACTTCATAACCTACTATGTTTTTGAAAGTAAATTTCACAACTAAAACTTAAAATGTGCTCAAGTGAGAAATGGGACCTGCAATTGGTAACTCAAGTTAATCTGTGGTCCAGGACTAGATACAAGGACCTGGCTTTAAATTAATGTAACCAGCAACCTGACAGAAGTCACATGCACCCCCGATTGTGTGACTCTCAGAATTGTGGGAGGCATTCAAAATGATGTTACTTTTAACAAGCAAATGTACGTTTGTGTTGGTAAGTATGTCTGGAGATATTCTGA